ATACTGTATCTGAAACAGTATAAATAAATAAATAGGACAAATAAATTTGTATCTTAATTAGATATTCACAAACTGATAATTACAAGTGGAATCATTAATACTGAACATAGATAATACCTCAGTACAGAGTTCACTACTTATGGAGCCAGGACTTCTTTGGATCTCCAGAAGCACTTTGTTTGAACAAAGAATATGAACTATTTTCTCACACTGGTGACTTCATTCTGCAGATAGCAGGACCATGAGATGTCAGTGTTGCACATATGCTCTCCAGGGAGGTGGTTGTGAATGTGTTTAAAACTGTTTGGATGTGGTGCTCAGGGACATGTGGCGGGGTTGTTAGAGTTATGGTTGGACTTGATGATCTTCAAGGTCTCTTCTAACTTGAGCAATTCTATGATTCTATGAGTCTCATTTGATTTTATGGTATCAAATAATTTTTGCAGTAATAGAGGTTTTGAAGAGGATAAAAGCAATCTAAAAAGTCAGATTATTTTCATTGAATAAATTATTCTCGAATTGGAGATTCTTAGGGCAGCTCCCTACTCCTATGCATGTCTGTCATTACCAGTGCGATCATTCTTAGATATTTGAAGCCAACTTTCAGTTTTGTACTTCAAACAAATGTAATGTTTGAAGTACTTGTGAAGGGTTTAAACTTTGATTTCATCCTAAGTGGAAGAAAGTGTTGAAATAATCCAATACTGTGTGAGAGGAAAAATGCTAAAATCCTGGGTGTAGAGATGTTATCTATTTCATTTCTATATGATTTACAAAGACAGTTGTCAACATTCCTGACCTGAGGTGATTTGCTTTAGTTTGGTGGACATCACTGAAATATTTTATGTGATGATCATCTTGTCTGTATCTGTGCTTGCTGGTACAGCCTCCTGGGAGTTGCTGTGTTTTGTGCTCTTTACTTCTCTGTGATGCAGCTTGACTTGCTGAAAAAGCCCCCTGGTTCACTGAGTTAGGCATCTCTCAAGTGGCACTGTGATGATTTAATTAAAGAAGGATATTACAGTGATTGTTGATGTGTGTAGTCCATGCAAAGAGCAGCTCACATGGGAAGAAATAGACTGGAGCAACTAGATTGGGTCTGATGGGGTAATTCAGCTTTTCATCTAAACATACAAATTGTTACCTCAGTGAAGCACAGCAAAAGGCTTTCTCCCCAATTCTCTGTACCCTGTAATTGTAGGCTTTTTAGCTGATGAGCATTTCAACAGAAAATCTCCAGTAGAGAATGTGGAGGGACCACATATAGTAAAATGGAGTTTCAAAATAAGATCACTGTTGAAAGCAAGAGCAAATATAGGTAATACTGCTTCACATGAAAAACGCTTCTTATGAAGCACCAATGCCAAATTAGCAGAGAGATTATTTTTTGCAAGATCTGTATGCTTAGTAATTGAATTCAGATTTACAAATTTAATGATCTGGGTCATCCCAAAACACGTCTTTGAAATTTAAGAAGCTATAAAAATTCTGCTCCTAGGAGCTGGAATATTTTCTCCCAGCTGTAAGTACATAACGGATACCAGTATGTGTTTGTTGTCAAGCCTTCCACTGTCCATCATGGAGATACCTTTGGGGTAGAAACTGATTAAAGACAGAGGAGGGGAATTGTATCCCTTGTGGCAGAAACCTCATATGACCATCAAAAAAGAAAATTAGCCAAATTAGCACAGTTCTTCAGCCAACCTTTAGAAGTACGCTCAACTGAAAACTCTCACCTTTGCTTCTGTCTTGATAACTTTAAGCTATTTCTCCTATACTCACATACCACTGCCTGAAGTCTTGTCAGCTGTCAGTGTGTTCTGCCCGTGTGGAAGGCCACGTACTTCCCCATTCCTAGCTCACAGTCATATTTTTTCTTCACGTTAGATGCATTGTCAGTGTTGTCATAGAGTTTGTCTTTGAAATAAATTTGACAGTTACACTTATATATCAAGACCAAGATTGCAAATCATCTTCACAAGGAGGTGAGTGAAGTTTTAAATAATAATATTGTGTTTTAAGTTTGGTCTGAGTTGCCTCAGGCGTCAGAAGTTTAATGAGCTTTGCCAGGGTTTGAAGTGACTCAGTAGTAAATAAATGACACAGTCTTTGATGTTTGGAATTACTCAGAAAACACCTGCAGAATCCTTGCTGCATTGGAAACCACTTTCTAGTATACTTTCCCTGTTAATTCTGTAACTGTGTCTGAGAAGTGCTATGAAGTGTGCTTATATAACTTATTTTTTTTCTCATGCATATTAAGCTTTGTTTTGAGAATGATCATGAGGCAGTTGTTTGTGCGCTTGTTTTCTTTGACTTCTCCAAGAAGGCTTAGGGCTAAAAAAGTTAATCTCATTGCATGGTTAAAGCTGGTGAGGTTTAGCAAGGTAAGCAGGAGATAAAACACTAGGAAAGCCTAATTGTGAGGGGAAATGAAGGAGCTATGTTTCCCTTATGAGCATCAGGTCAGGTTACTCAGATGAAAAAAAAAAAAAAAGAAAAAAAAAAGGAGAATTTCTACATCAGGCATCAGCTTGTGTTTCTCAGATTAGAATTCTTAAGCAAATTTAGACAAATATTTTTTGTTTATCATTCTAATTAAAACATTTTGCCCTTCTCATTGTCTTAAATCATTGTTGATGAATGGCAGCCTCTAGTGCTGTTTTCCAAATATAATTAAATGAGGACATGTTTTCTGTGGAAGAGATTATATGTTTGCTGCATTTAAAACAGCCAAAACTGCAGAAAAAGGGACTATGTGTACTTGAAGTTAAACTGTGCAACTTTGTAGGCTGGATTAGATGATTTTGAATATTTAATTGAAGCTCTTCTTTAAAAAAAAAATAAAAAAATCACACCTTGAGGTTTAAGATGACCATAAAAATAAAAGACTCTTTAGTCTTGCAGTTCAAAAGGGACAAGACAAATAAAGCTTAGTAGTCTGCTTGATAGAAAAGACTAGCAGGTCAATTATAACTGGTAAGGTGTGCGTTGTGTTTTATCTTGTGATCATTTCCAGTTATTATGCAGTAATCTTTTCATGCTGAACTAACCAACCTGCTCACAATAGTGATGTCTGGCATGCAAGCTGACTTTTGCATAAAGGGTATTCACAGTTGACACAGAACAATATTTTGAGCTAGACCTGCAGGAGGTGTGTAATTTTGCAGTTCAGCTATCCAAGATCTCACTGTCCTAATTATGTTTTATGCACTTCAGCTTAAAACCTGTCCATGACGCAAGTTTAGGGAAGCATATGTGAACGTCAGTAATTTATTCCATATACACTCGAAAGAGTGATTACCAACAGTATGAATAATGCTAGTCATTGCTTGCACTTTTGTGCATTCCTAAGAAAGACATATCTGCATATCTCTCTCTGGAATATCGTGTTTCCGGATTGAGTTCCACTTATTATAATGTAAATGTATCTTTATCATGTTGCTTTACATTGCTTACAATGCATGTGCACAATTTATCATCAAATTTACTTATGTACATTTTTTTTCTGCAGAATACCCCTATATCTCTAAGTGTACTTTATTGTTTGAAGCAAAGATACTCACTTGAATTTGAGAGACTTCGTTCACATTTAGAAGCTCATGAATTGGGGAGTTGAAGGAAACTCTCACTTATTTGTATGGACAATAAATGTAGGGACAGATTCCATTTTGTAGACAACAGCTTGTCTACTTTACTGTTTCTTTGGAACATAATTCATAGCTTTTTCTACTTAAATAATAAAATTTCATGCTAAATGAATGTTGTAAATTGACACAGAAAAAAACTATTACTGCCTTTCTTTGGAGTTGTATTTGTATATTCTTTAAAAGAGAACAGAAATCTCAGCGTTCCTCATCTTGCTATTGGACAGTGTCTGCTTTTTCGCTGTACTTTTTTGGTTTGGACTACGCCACTGGATTTGTGTTTCTTGGATTGCTAATATGTGATCTGTTACTAGAGAGAACATTTGAATCTCCAGACACTGCATAAACAGGTTTTCCATAAGCAGTGGAAGTGTTTGATTTTAAATTCACTTTTGGTATGTACACCATGTATGTGATCCCAGCTCCCTCTCCCTTTCTTGCATCTGTACACATCTGCACTATGGGAATTTATTCATAGCTGCTAATAACGCTGATTTGCTATTTGCTGATTGCAGTCATCAGACTTATGCAGAAAGAAAGGTGTTAGAATAATTTGTTTTTCTCTTTTTTTCCACATCACCCAGTCACAAACTTTTAAAACTTTCCCCCTCTCCCCCACAGACTTACTACTTACTGGGGAACATAGATGACATACCCCAGTTTTTTTAAGATTTGACTAGTATTATGAAACGTTCAGTCAGATGGAGATTCAGTTTTCTTTGGTAATTAAGGAAAGAAGATAGTTTGTAATTTATTTTACCAGAATATTATTTTATATTTTGAGAGGTAAGGCATTTAAAGAAAGAAAAGGAAGAAAGGTGAAAGTTATTTAATATGTAATTAAGATCCACTATGAAATTTGCAAAAAAAAATTGCATTGTTTCATAGTTTTTTCACTTCTCAAAACAAAAGAAGGATTTTTTGCTTTGAACTTCAAGGCTCTATTTTTTGTTTTGAACAGCCTTTGACAACTGTGTCAGAACTGTGGAAGGATGAATGAATGTATTATACTTTCGTATTCAATACAATACCAGTAATACCATCAAACATTAAATTTTGCATCCCGCAATATTGAACCATTTTTATCCACTTTGTACCTTTTCTATTCTGATATTTCATTCTCCAAAGACCTTGAGCCCATACATTAAGTTATTGTTGACTATGGTAAAGTACTTCCAATACTTTATCTTACTAAAAAAAAAAAAATCTAAAATAAAAATTGTAAATTAAAAAAAGTAGCAAGAGTGGACCTTTAATTTGAGAGATTGGCCTAGGATTTATTGTAGAAGTTCTTACAGGAATAATTCTGACTTTCTTTATTCTTCCTTCCATTTTTTTTTTATCTGTGTTCAGATGGAAGACGTCATAGCTCGCATGCAAGATGAGAAAAATGGGATTCCTATTCGTACAGTCAAAAGTTTTCTTTCCAAGATCCCCAGTGTCTTTTCTGGTAAGAGTCAGTGTGATTTTGATATTATTTAAGATTCCCATTTTACATTGTGTAATAGTATGCTCAAATGGCGAATGTTTACCTTAGTGTTATGGGGAATTCACATTTGCCTTGTCTGAGGAGAAACTAACTACCCTACCCTTTCAGTACTTTGATAATAAAAATTGGTTATATATTTCTTGCACATCAAAATGTGTTTTCATGTATGTGTTTTTGTCCAGTAGTTTTTCTGACGGCAGTACTTACTTTACTGTAAAAATTCAATTTATTTTTATTGCAGTGTTTTTGCATTTCAGATCTGATTTTTAACTTGTTTATATGGCAAGTATAAATAGTTTAAAATATAGGCCAGTATATGAATATAAGAACTATTATATCATCAGCACAAGAAAATAATAATCATAGCACTCTACATGATGCTGAGTTGTTGATATTTCTTACAACACTTACAATCTGCTTTTATGAGCTTTGGCTGCTAGTGCCAAGCTAAGGCTGAGATTTCTGTGATGACATGCAAAACAGCCATAAACTTTATAGGTAACCCAAACCAGTACTGTTGCATTCACAAAAATATGTCCATTTTTTAATTAACTAGTATTAACTAGTAACTATCTATTTAATACTGGGAGGAGGTGTAGGGAAGGAAGAAAAAGCATAGCAATTCATTTTTTTTTCATTTTTAGATTTTCTACCTCAAATACAATTGCAGTAATTTTTGCAGTAGGTTACTAAAAACAAAAAACCAAAAAACAGGAAAGCACAGCTATATTTTTAATGCACTTCATATTTACATTCCTTCTGCTGGAAAAAAAGAAGAAAAAAAAAAAAGTAGTACACGTATTTGCATGTATTTACAAAGGTATGTATTATATCTAGCCAGCTGCCTAGGAAAACATCCAATAAAATTTGGAACTTTGCAATTGTTTGATTGAGGAGAGAAAAATATGGAGGTATGCCGCAGTTAAGTCATGTTTCTACAAGTGGTCAGACTCATGCTTGTGTCTATGCCATAGATAATACTTGTTAGAGCCTTTAAACAATCTTTAAAATTAATCTTAACAATTTATAGATATCCTTAGGGTCTGGGGAAGAAAATACATAGAGGGGATGTTATCAGTGCTTACAAATATCTGAAGGGTGGATGTCAAATGGATGGAGCTAGCCTCTTTTCAGTTATGCTGAGCTACAGAGGCAATGAGCCCACACTGGAGAAGCAGAAGTTTGCTATGAAAATGAGAAAAAAGTTTTTTTGCATTGGTATTACACAACACTGGAACAGGCTGCACAGAGAGCTTGTGGAGTCTCTTTCTCTGGATATAGCAAAAAACCACCTGGAAACTTTCTCCAGCAAGCCACTTTAGCTGGGAGTTGGACTTCATGATTTCCAGTTCTTCCAATTCTGTACTTCTGTCTTACAGGCTATCACTGTAAAAGCAGAAGGGGTATTTTAATTTTTGTTTTCTTGTATTTCATACTATTGTTTTTAAAAACAGAATGGCAGACTAGTTTAGACAGCAGGTAGTCCTTATTGCAGAATTACTGACCATGTCTATTAAGGACGAATAAATTAGCAAAAGAAGTTTGGGGAAAGGTATCTGAATTTGACCTGTTAGTAGAATGTTATGATTGTAAAAAATGGGACAATGTGATTGTATTATCCCATTTACTGAGTCATTCCTTTGATGTTTTTACAAGTAAAATATACACACAGAGAAACATTTCAGATACAGGTAATTCTTCACAGCCAGTACTCTATGCATTGCTATTCTTCACAAGATGACAAAAGGAAAAATAATAATATGTTAAGGATTATTTCACCTTGTGAAATTTTGAAAAAATATATTTCTTATATTTCATGTTTTCATGGAGAGCAAATATGTTGCTTAATGTTGAAGCCTCATAAATATGTTCCTGAGTGTGTGTAATCTGCTTGAATTCAAACAAAATTTTCATTTGATTTCTGTCTTGAAATCTTTCAAAAAGAAATAATTTAGTTGAGTTTACCAGATTAAAATATGCTTAGATTGAGTTTGCAAGCCATTTGATGAAAAAGAATACAGACCCATACATGTATCATAATACTACTCATATTTTCATCAGGAGCATATATGCTTATTTGGGAGTGTGCAAGATTGAGTAAGCAGCAAATTTATCCGTGGTGTAAATTTACTAGCTAGTGAATTGCAGACTAATTTGGATAACAGCATTTCAGTCACCTAGAAGGTGAAATGAATTATGAAAAAACTCTCAATTCTTGACTGAACTCCAATGTGCAAAAATACAAAACATTGAAAACAAGCAGGTAAAAAACAGACACAAAAATTGACACTTGTCCTATTCCTTATACTCCATCCCTTGGTTTGGAGAAGTTCTTCACAGCTGTTTAGCATCAGTGATGTTAATGATACTCATTTAAATTCTTTTATACGATAAAATTATACCTCATATTATTCAAATAGCTATGGTGAACAACTCAGTATATTGCAAAGTTTGTAACAGAAATGATAGGGCTTATTATACATATTAATGAACAAATACTGAAGAGGAAAAAATGCATCCTTGACTAATTCCAAGTGGCACTTTGCATAAAAGAATCATTGGAAGTGCAGTACTGGGAGCTGACTACTGACTTCTATTTGTATTTCTGGTAGACCTACAACCTGTTGTGCTCATCAGTAGATGTCTGTGGTGCATTTTAATTTTATCATGGCAAGCAACAAAAATATCAAATCTCAGAATTATGCTGCAGTGTTTCTTCTTGGATGTGATGAGCTAATGGTTTCATTGCATTCAATATTTTTTACCATTGTTTATGCCATTCATAGAATAGATATTCTACTGACTACCCAGCTATAACTTGCTTAATCAGATAGCACTTCACTGATTAGTCCTGATACTAACTGCCTTCTGGAGCCATTGTTACAGGATACTGTATGCCTAGTGTGATTTTGACCAATAATATTTTTACACTAGATGTTAGCCCTTATTGAATCTTGCTAAATGACCTCATTCAGCTAGTGCTTGTGAGGCCTTTGAGCAGAAAGAAATGTGCTGTAGCAGATGGTCTTTGTAATGATAGTTTACATCAAGCTGAGTCACCACAATGTTATTTGCAACTAGGCTCAGAGTAGATACGAACAGATGAATAAGCATGTAGAGCTTTGTAGAAAACAGACTAATGGGCCTAAGCATCCTAGAACATCACTGGTTAAAAACAGACTTATTCTGTGAGTACCACACTGGTCATTGCTAATGGTAATTCTTTTGGAAGGTGTGTGATTGTCTTCTGGATGAACAAGTAGTCAGTGAGTTTGGGGTTACATCAGGCTTGCAGCCAGTCACTAGAAAGGTTCTGCTGAGCTCCATTTTAGGGCCAGTTCTCTTCAGTGATTTCATCAATGACTTGGATACAGGACTTGAAGATATACGAAGTACATTCATTGACAGCATTAAATTGGAAGGAGCTGCTAACTCCTTTGAGCATAAAGAATCCTTGGCAAAGAGATCTTGACAACTTGGAGGACCGGGAAACCACCAAGCATATGATGCTCCACAAAGCAAGTGCTGCATTCTGTACCTGGGAAAGGAAAACCTTGGATGTATGTATAGACTGGGGGAAGAAACACTGGAGATCAGCCTCACGGAAAGGCATGTGGGGGTTGTGGTTGATAAGCTTCATTTGTCAACAGCGTGCCCTGGCAGTCCAAAGGGCTAACCGTACCCTGGGGTGCACCAGCCCAGCACTGCCACCAGGCGAGGGAAGGGGTTCTTCCACTCTGCTCTGCACTAGTGTGACATCACCTTGGGCACTGTGTGCAGTTTTGGGCACTACAATATGAGGAAAGAAATATACTAGAGAACACCTAAGGAAGATGGTAAAGGCTCTATAGGGCAAGGTGGGTGAGGAGCAGCTTGGTTTGTTCAGCCCAGAGCAAAGGAGGCTGAAAAGAGGCTTTGTGGCAACTGCAGCTCCTCACAGGGAGAGGAGGGGCAGCGCTATACTCTGGTGATAGCAACAGGGCCCAAGGGAATGGCATGGAGCTGCGTCAGGGCATGAGGAAAAGGTTCTTCACCAGAGGGTGGTTGGGCACTGGAACAGTCTCCCAGGGGCAGTGTTCTTGGCCCCAAGCCTGCTGAAGTTCAAGAAGTGTTTGAACAACACTCAGAAATACAGTTTGAATTTTGGTTAGTTTTGTGTGGAGCCAGCAGTTGGACTTGATGATTCTTGTGGTCCTTCCAACTCACGATATTTTGAGATTCGGTGACTACTTAAGCATATTGCCACACTATGGTGGAAGATATCATAGTTCAAATAATAGCTTCTGGGTCTTTGTGAGTGGAATAACTATTTTTACTATGAAGAAATAGTCTGCTTGTGACCATTCACATTATTATCTTAATCATTTGTAGTAGCCATGGAGTTTGTCTTTGTGTATCTTATTGAACCACAGAACGGTTTGGGTTGAAAGAGACTTTCAAGATCACCTAGTTTCAACCCCCCTCCTATAGGCAGGGACACCTCCCTCTAGACGAGGTTTCTCAAAGTCCCATCCAGCCTAGCCTTGAATGCTTCTAGGGAGGTGGCATTTCATGTTCATCTTCTAATTGTGTGATCTTTAGTGTTTCTGAAAAAACAGAAGCAGGCTTTCACCTAGATATTATTTCTCCATGGAATGTTCTCCCAGACTTCTATATGCATTATTTGTTGTGTCTGAATCATTTTACTGCTTTTTTAGTATCCATTAGGTCTCTTGATCACCTTGAGTCTGTATCAAAAAGCACAGAACAGAGACTATGATGAGAGCTAAACAGAAACTATGTGAAAAGACTCAGGAATAACTGATAGCCAAATCTGAATTCAGTGAATTAAGCCTACACGTACATCTCCGTAGAGACAGGCTGCATTTTCAACAGGGCTAATGGATAAATTGAGTATTTCACACATGAGATGATGGAAAGATGAGTAAGTATAATTTGAAAGTAGCTGTTTTCTTTTTATT